CAGGAATTGATTTTATTTTTGTGGAACAGTCTAACCTTTTCCCCTTGGCGTTTATTAATTACTGCTGTTCTCTAGGTTTCACTCACTTGCTCATAAGCATAACTGAGTTATCCAACATTGAATCTGAGCCCGCTTCCTCAATGCGTTCCTCTTATCAGTCTCGTCCAGAAACTGGAAGGCCAAAACGCCCTGGCAGGAAGCAGAGTTCTGCCAAGCAGCACTTGGCTACACTGTAAGGGGAAGCCCAGGGTCTTCAAATAAAGATAAATAAAAGATCCTTAAGCTTACCCTCCAGTTCTTAGACTCCACAGTACATAATGCTTCCAGATTAAAAAAAAAAAAAAAATCGACTTCTCAGTAAGCTTTATCTTTAATACGAAAATGCCAACTTTTTCTGAGAAAATCCTTTTACAACATAGGAGCAATATGTTTGGTATTTATTTTAAACTGCAGATAAAAAGAGGAGTCCCCATGCAATTAAGCACAGAAGCAACCCAAGGAAACACAATCACAAGATGTTCAACTTCACTTAGTTTGGCTCTGTCAGTACAAGAGCCATGCGGTCGAAATGTTTCATTGTCATGGCAATATTAACTTTTTAAAAGTATTTTGCCCTTATTTTCTTTTGCCCTTACAAGAAGTTTGTGAAGACTTTTGGAGCTTCACTTCATTGATCTAGCGTAAGACCTCTACAGTCCTGGCAGTTCGGGTAGCTCAGTTCTCGGCTCATTTTTCTGAAAAGACACTTGACTCCCTCCGTGTCTCTCCTCTGTCTCGCTTTGACAAGCACACCCCTCGCTGTTCAGGTGGTACACTGCTCCCTGTTCCTCACTGCTGTCATGAGAAGCTGGAACGCCCCAATAGACAGACAACGCTGTGCGTGAACCTCGGCTCCACCCTTTCCAGTAGCATGAACTTGGGTGAAGTACGTCACGGTAGTGAGCCTGAGTCCCTTCGCCTGTAAAACAGCAATGATGCCTACTGCAGAGCATGGTAGTGAGGAGTGGAGGTAATGTACATAAAGCCACAAGTATAGGACGAAGCTTGTAATTAACACCACAATTATTCATTACTGTATTTTGGTTCTGTGATAAAAAAAATATCTAGACACAAATTAATAATAAGCACGGTGTCCGACAAATACAATGTGGATTGTTCATTGATAAGGAATGTATTGTACACCGCATTCCAAGCCATAGCCAAGTCATCAGTTTGGCACACTTCTTAAAAGAACTGTTACGTGGCAACTTCTCTGGTGGAGAGGGCTGACCAATGAGTAAGGTACGGAGTTATCGGCATCTACACATCTCAGTAGCTAGAGGTACAAGTCTTTCATAATGCTGCTCCAGGATTACCGGACTCTGGGAGAGTCCAATGAAACGCAGATCACAGGGACCAGTAGTTGGCGTAATGGCTATGTCACTGGACTCCCATGTACATGTAGTCAACCGCAGTTCTTGTCCCGGATCCGGTGGCTTAAACTCACGCCGGGCGCATATGAGTGTGTGCCCAAGATCCTGAGAGGAGAATGGAGGAGAAGGGACTACAGCGTGGCCATCCCCCCTGGGGGGTGATTTCTCGCTTTCTGTCTCTCTGTCTCTCTCTGTCTGTCTGGCGAGCACACGGGCCCTATAGCATAAACCTCTCCAAAACGAACAAACAGAAAATGCAGATCTCTGTTTCATAGCCTGACTTGCTTCACTCAGCAACAGATCTTCCACGTTCGTCCACTTTCTATCAAATGCCAGGGTCCTTTTTTTAAATGGCCGAATAGGATTCCACGGAGTCTATGTGCCATATTTCCAATCCATGCATCTGTTTGTGGACACTTGGGTTGGTTCCATGTCTCGGCAATCGTGAATAATGTCGCAATGAATATAAACAGAGACATCGTATGTCTCCACTTACCATACACGGACTGTCTACACTCCCCAGTAGAGACTGAAAAACTGGAGGGAATGAAGGCATTAAAAATTATTATGGACTCTGGGGACAAAGTGGAAGGTGAGTGGGAGAGGGGAAATGTACAGAAAGAGAAATCTGGGACAATATGGAGTCGGACATTTATGTTACGCAGATATGGCTTGTCGCCTGTCGGTGATGACGTGTAGAGCAGCACCAACTCATCTGCTGCGTGGCGTATATCATGTTGGGTGAAATCTCTTTACAAATGACATGATGTATGATGACTGAATGTATAAAAATAAATAATACTAATTTAAAAAATAATCAACCCAAGGGGGGGGGCACACAGACCTCTGGACCCCTTCTGAGAAGGGCTAAGGCTGACTGGGGAAGGGGTCCGGGAGTCTGCATGTCTGTGCATGCTGGAAAACTGAGCATAGCACTTTGATAATCATGGCTTTATTATTAAAACAAGTAATAAACCCTGCAGTCCTTACCTTCTTACACCTTGCATCAACCCAACCAGAGATATTATGATAAAACATGTGTATTTAGGCACCAGTTATTGGGGAAGAAAAAAAGAAAACAGATGAGAAAAGAAAAATTGTAAAGTCATGACCTCAGCCCTAAAGTTAGAAGGGCCGGTGTGGTCTGAATACGGCGAGAACTTTAGCCGACTTGATACGACGCTAACTCTACGGTGAGAACATCCATCAGCTACGCACTATGTACAAAGGTCTTCAAAAAGTTCATGGAAAACGAGGGGTTGCTTTGTTTATTTGTTTGGTTGGTTGTTTTTAATTAGACATTGGGTTTCAATTCTTGCACCAAAACCCACTTGTACTTCAATTTTGGTTTTGCACAAATTTCTTCAAGTCCCTCATATTGGGCTCTGGATCCAAAGTCAATAATGGCTGAGCATACAACAAGTACTGGATACTTGTTGAGTGAACAAAATGAACATTTTTAAACATTTCATTTTTTTTTCAGTGATTAGTCATGAAGCTGCAAACTTTCCTGTGTGACTTCGCTGGTTTTTCACAGGGTCACTAAGGAGAGAACCCAGCGGCCTTCCTGCCAGCAGAGCAGAGCTCAAGGTCAGGAGGCCGCGGCTGGGTTCTCTGCTGGGTTCTCTTCTAGTGCGTCCTTGCCGTACCCCATCTGCAAGGACCTGACCGCTCTCGCCCTGGCTCCTCACTCTGTGAAGCGTTCGCAAACTCGTAGAATACAAGGGAATCTGATAAGCAGGAACACCCTCCAAACCCGCAAGGCAGTAACTCGCCAGCAGTGAAAGCAGTGGCAGAATCTGGCCGCTTTGGAAACCTCTACCCCTCGTTCATTCTTCCTCTCGCTGTTCTTTACTCTGAGAATGACTCTTCGGGGTTTTGCGATCCAGCTAGCTCATCATTTTAACAGCCCGGCAGACACGCAATTGGTACTCACAGAGTGTTCAGATGCTTGAGCTGCTTGAAGGCGCTTCCTGGAATTTCTCTTAATCTGTTAAACCTCAAGTCTCTGGGAACACAAACAGACAGAGAAAGATTATAGTATGTTGATTCTGTTCTGCCATCATGCCCAGAAGCTGGGAAGTCCTTTCTCCTTTCGTAAGCAAACACGGAGCACGAAAGGACTCCAGGGCACGGAGGCGGGACTAGTACGCATCACTCCCTCCGAGGAGGCGGCGGCCAATGAGCAGGTCGTGCACGTCCGGGCGTCGCAGCTACAGAGCCCCGAGTGTTGGAGACAGTCACACCGTTTACTTTAGCGTGTGTCTGTGTGACAGCAAAAGGACTGCATTTATGGCAACTGGCCAGTGAGTGTATTTGGTTTGGAAAATAGTATGGATGTGTCAGACGTCCAGTATCAACTCAACATAACCCCGTTGCTTAAATGCAGCCAAAGCTATTAATTAGTTCAGCAGTCTTCAGGGACGGGACACAATGGCCTTCTAAGGACTGCTAAAGCAAGTCAGCTTAAGAAAGATGCTTTTCCTCCACCTGGGACTCCAGGTGTGCCTGGCGGAAAAGCTGAACCCGGAATGGAGGCCGGCCTGCTGTGTGGTCCCCGCAGGGCACACCAACATGATGGGGCCCATTTCAGAGCAATCTCACAGGTGTCAGTTAAAAACTAAAACAGAAACAGAAAATGATCTCTACTTCCATTTAATTGATTTTTCAAAAGAAAAAAAAAAAAAAAAACTGGAGCCAACAGGTGTCATGGTGGCTAAGGCACTGGATTGCCACATGGCCAACTGCAGGTCGAGTCCCGGACTTGGCAGCTTGCTTTCTCACTTTCCCTCTCTCGTTCTCAGTATCTTTCTGGTTACAATAAAGATTTATTGTAATCAATAATCAATTTATTGTAATCAATAAAGAATTCAATAAATGACAATTTTTTTAGAGAGACTTTTGCTATAAGGCATGTGTACTTGTCTGAGAGCCAGCCAGAGACAGAGGAAGTGAGAAATTGCCCCCCAACCCCTCAGAGGGGATGGCTATGCCACAATCCCTTCTCCATTCTCCTCTCAGGATTTGGGGCACGCTATACACATGCCCTGTGCATTTCAACCTGCTGGGTCCAGAACTCAAAGCACAGCTAGCTGTGTCTTAACCACTACAACACTTGCTGGTCCCTAAATAAATTACTCTTTAAAGTATAAAAAACTCTTCACCACCCTGCTATCTCCGAATACTTGATTCACAAATTTTTATCACATTGCCTTAAAATCCTAAAATCCTAGTATTTTGTGTTTCTCCTGAGTTAATGTTGGCAGGATGTATATAATTTTCTAAGAGCTGTTATTTTTAGTTAAAATTGTTAAATAACTCAGGAATTCTACCTTCTTGTTCAATGGAATCCACTGCGCGAACACCATACACTGCTACTGGGTATGTCTAGACTGTATTTTTCTTTTTATAAAGATTTTTGCCATTGGGCACGTGTGCTCACCATAGAGGAGAGAGACAGAGAGAGATAGTGAGAGGGAAAGTGAGGAATCACCCCAGCAGGAACGGCCACACTATAATCCCCTCTCCTCCATTCTTCTCCTAGGATTTCGGGCATGCACTCACACGGATTTGGTATGATTTTCATGCTGCCAGGTCTGGGACTCAAACCACAGTCAGCCATGTGAGAGTCCGACCACTAACCACCTTAACCACTACACCACCTGCTGGCCCCTAGACTATATTCTTGAATTTTTGTTAAGTTATGTGACATTCTTCCATTAAACACACAGAACATGAAGTTATGAGAAAATAATGATAATCCTTATTGTTCACATCCAAAATTATCTCCTATTCACACTTTTATAGAGTTATGTCTATTCACACTTCCAAATATTTTTATTTTTGATATATTATTATACATAAAAATACATTACAGATGAAATAAATGTTTCATTTCACCACCACCCTAATTTTAGTTTTGCCTCTCCTCCACAGATGTAACCTCTGTTATGAGACTGATACCTTCTCTCAGACAATGTCTGTAATGGGAAGGGTCTTCAAAAGTTCATGGAAGACATGTCTTATGATGTTCCCTTTGGGACCAGCAGTTAGCGTAATGCCTATGTCGCTGGACTCCCATGTAGTTGACTGCGGATTGAGTCCTGGACCCAGTGGCTTAAACTCACACTGGGCGCATGTGCATGTGTGCCCAAGATCCCGAGAGGAGAATGGAGAAGAAGGGATTGCTGTGTGGCCATCCCCCCGGGGAGTGATTTCTCGCTTTCTATCTCCCTGTTTCTCTCTGTCTTTCTGGCGAGCGCACATGCTCTATAGCAAAAACCTCTCCAATGTTCCTTAAGGAGATGTGTTTTCACTCTCTCTCTCTCTCTCTCTCTCCATCTCTTTGGGAAGCACACTTGACCTATAGCATTTTTTTAAATCCCCCTTTCCCCATCTCTTTTGTGTCATTCCTTGTTAACAAATAAAGGTCTGGGGATTTACCCCGAGCACCTCTGCAGCGTCCCGCAGTGTAGACAGACCACGGTTCCCTTATGTCGTCCTCGCTGACAGTATTTCCATCATCTCTCATTGTCTGCAACATTGATTGCAAACTATATTGCAGTACACATGTGTGCATGTCTGTCTCCTGTGTCTACCCATGAAAAGATGCTTTTCTAGAGCAATATTGACAATTGGGTTGCTAGACCCTGAGTATGCAGGTCTTCAGTCTCACTACATGCTGCCAATTGCAGCTTTTTCCTCACTAGAGTGGAGCAGTAGTACAATTGCAGAAGACGTGCAAAGGTGCCTGAACTGGTCACCAGATTACACATTGCAGCGTAGCACTGGATTGATTGGAACGCGGCGGTGCTGTGTGTGTTGGGCAGAACTCCCACTGTCTTTCTTCACACGTAAGCCAAAATAAGCTTTTCCACAAAATCTTGTTTGTGAGATGGTGCTATTGCAAGGTGCCTGTGATTCAACGGTAACCCGGTGGACGGTAAAGTTCACCACCCACCCCAACCCCAACCACGCCCTGTTCTCCCCATGGAGACCCACCCATGGGTCCCTTCCTGAGATGCAAAAACCCAATCAACTTGAGTTCCAGTAAGACATATTCCAATGCACCCAAATGAATATTTTAACACTCGGTCTTCTTTGTGTAGCATAGTCCGCCACATAAATGTTTACAGTTACATGCACTGCAAACTAAACTTCTGGGAAAAGGTCTCCCTTTGTCATCCTAATCTCTGTACCGTAGGATTACACACAGGCCACTGTATTCTACAATGGGAAACCTACGGGCCAGGGGAAGTATTTCTGAAAATCAGTTACTTGAACTCAAACCCACCAAATGTGGATTATGCTGCTTTCTTTGTGTCTTAGTTTATTACTGTGTTGCTAAAAGAAATACCTGAAACTGGGTGGTTTATAACAAATAGAAGTGTATTCGGCTCATGAGTCTGGTGGCTGGAAAGCCCGAGGCTGGGGAGAGCCTCACACTGGCGGAAAGGAAAGTCGGGGGGGTACATGGAGAGTGGGGGCTGTGGGCCCCTCTTACAACTGTCCTGGGGGCGCAAGGCAAAGAAGCCATCGCCCGTTCAGGAGGGCAGTGCTTCGGGTCCAACCGCCACTCACACGGCCTACTCCCGTGAGGTCTCGCCGCCTCCCAGTCATCACACCGGGGACCACATTTAACACATGAACCTCTGAGAGAAGCCATCGTCCAAACCAGAGCGTGCGTGGGACTTCACCCCAGGATAGTATTTACCATCCACAGCGCCTCCGCAGCGCTCAGGACGGGTCACGAGCAACTTCGCTTATGAGAAACACGCAATGGGGCTGGCTCGACCACGCAGCGGTATGACGGCTCACAGGGGGCAGCTCACAGCTTCTCCTCTTGCGCTGGCAGTGGAAGGGGCACGATGACCCTGGGAGCTGGTCTCCCTACACTGGCAGGACCTGGCCTCTGAGTGGTCAGGGCACCACGGGCCCTTCTTCCTCCTTGCACCCTCAACTCCCTCCTGCTTCCCAGAGCCGCCCAGCCAGGTGGGACACTCCGTCCTCACGGCGCCCGGCCTCCAGGGCCCAGTAAGACTTGGGAGAGGTCTCTGCAGCTCTCCCCACTGCCCTACAGCAAAATGCCACCCAGCCAGGTGGGACCCTACTTCCTCACTGACTGGCCTCCAGGGCTGAGTAAGACTTGGGAGAGGTCTCTGCAGCTCTCCCCACTGCCCTACAGCAAAATGCCACCCAGCCAGGTGGGACCCTACTTCCTCACTGACTGGCCTCCAGGGCTGAGTAAGACTTGGGAGAGGTCTCTGCAGCTCTCCCCACTGCCCTACAGCAAAATGCCACCCAGCCAGGTGGGACCCTACTTCCTCACTGACTGGCCTCCAGGGCTGAGTAAGACTTGGGAGAGGTCTCTGCAGCTCTCCCCACTGCCCTACAGCAAAATGCCACCCAGCCAGGTGGGACCCTACTTCCTCACTGACTGGCCTCCAGGGCTGAGTAAGACTTGGGAGAGGTCTCTGCAGCTCTCCCCACTGCCCTACAGCAAAATGCCACCCAGCCAGGTGGGACCCTACTTCCTCACTGACTGGCCTCCAGGGCTGAGTAAGACTTGGGAGAGGTCTCTGCAGCTCTCCCCACTGCCCTACAGCAAAATGCCACCCAGCCAGGTGGGACCCTACTTCCTCACTGACTGGCCTCCAGGGCTGAGTAAGACTTGGGAGAGGTCTCTGCAGCTCTCCCCACTGCCCTACAGCAAAATGCCACCCAGCCAGGTGGGACCCTACTTCCTCACTGACTGGCCTCCAGGGCTGAGTAAGACTTGGGAGAGGTCTCTGCAGCTCTCCCCAACGCCCTACAGAAAAACACTCTATCTTTAGGCTTGCAGCCCTCGCAGTGTAGAAAATGGAAATTCCTCTCCAGGCCTGAGGACTGCACGCCTTGGCCTGGCCTGGTTCCCATCCGTGTCCTTGTCTGCAAGCGCCAGGCAGCCAGAGCTTCAGGCTGTCTTCTGTGACTGTTTAGAGAAATGTTAATGCAGTGTGATGGGCAATT